TGGGATAGAGCCCCACATTGGGCTCTCTGCTCAGCAGGGACCCCTGCTTCCCTCTCTCTCTGCCTGCCTCTTTGCCTACTTGTGATCTCTGCTGTCAAATAAATAAAAATCTTTAAAAGAGCTTATAGAACATAAAGGAACAAGTCCCAGAACCTTGACAAATAATGAGGAAGCTGCTGGAACTCTCTCGGTCAAAAGAGCAGGTGAAGGGGTGCCTGGGTGGCTCAGTGGGTTAAGGCCTCTGCCTTGGGCTCAGGTCATGATCCCAGGGTCCTGGGATTGAGCTCCACATTGGGCTCTCTGCTGAGCAGGGAGCCTGCTTCCTCCTCTCTCTCTGCCTACTTGTGATCTCTGTCAAATAAATAAAATCAAAAAAAAAAAAAAAAGCAGGTGAATACTATGATTTACATTCTCCCTCCACTGTGACAGTATAATCAAGATCAGGGCTCCCAGCCCACATTAGCCCCAGACACAGGGGGGCATGGGCAGGGTGGGGGGGTGTTTAAAAGTTCATGGAGAATTTAAAGAGCCAGCACTAGAACTCTGCTAGATGGGGGGACAGCTGCTGGCATTCTCTCCAGGTTGGAGGGGCTGGTGAGAAACATGGTTTATGATGTTCTCCATACCTTGATAACTTGGATGGGAGGAGGGTCCAGGTACCCTAACCAGCATGTTGCTTCCTGGGTCCCCAGCCCATATCAACCCCAACCACTCCACCAAGCAGTTTCAGCACAGTCCACACCAGGACACGCCTGGTCAGATCCAGCAGTTGTGCCAATGTGACATGAACACAAAGCACTCTGCAACACTCCAGCTCCACACCTCTTTGGCTCCTAAGAGTTTCCTAGGACACCCCTGGCACAGAGATTACTGGGACCTCCTGGCTCTCACCTGGTTCAGGTCCAGGAACCCCCAGCCCATGCTGGCTCAGTTCTAGTACCCTGCCAGGACACTTGCTGCACTGAGCATTGTGATACCCTGACCTCACCCATTTCAGCTTCAGCTGTCCCACCAGGTGCTTTCTGCCTGGGGAGCCCTGGGGCAGCTGCAGCCCATATCCATTGTAGCTTTAGCTGTCCTATCAGGGCACCCTGGGCACAGAGAGCTCCAGGACCACCTTGGCCCATACCTACTTCAGCTACAGAAGTTCTACCAAAATGCCCCCTACAGAGAATACCTTAGGACCTCCCCCAGGCCCATGCCCCACCTTAAATCAAGCTGCCTTGCCAGGGTGCTTTCTGGAGAGCCCCAGGACACCCCAGCACACACTTGATCAGCTTCACAGTCTACCCAGGGGTCAACCATACACAAGACCATTCCTCCAAGTTTAGAAGTGGCTGTTCTGCCTAATACACAGAAACAAGCACTTTAGAAAGTAAAGCAGACTGGAGAGACAGAAGAATATGCTACCAAAGCAAGAATAAGAAAGAACCTCAGGAAAAGAACTAAATGAACATAGATAAGCAATGGTCTGATAAAGAATTTAAAAAAAGTAAAGATGCTCACTGGACTGAAGCAAGTAAAAGAACTAAGTGAGGACTTCAACAAAGAGAAAATATAAAGAAGAACTATCAGAGTTGAAAAATACAAGAACTGAAATGAAAAATAACTGGGGGAATCAACAGTACGTTAGCAGATGCAGAACAATGGAACATTGATCTCAAAGACAGGCTATGGAATGCTTACTCGTTAAGCATCTGCCTTCTGCTCAAGTCATGATCTCAGGGTCTTGGAATAGATCCCTGCTCAGAAGGAAGCCTGCTTCTCCCTCTTCCACTCCCTCTGCTTATGTTCCCTCTCTCACTGTGTCTCTGTCAAATAAATAAAATCTTCACAATGGGGTGTCTTGGTGGCTCAGTGGGTTAAAGCCTCTGCCTTTGGCTCAGGTCATGATCCCAGGGTCCTGGGATCGAGCCCCTCATCAGGCTCTCTGCTCAGCAGGGAGCCTGCTTTCCCCCTCTCTGTCTCTGCCTGCCTCTCTGCCTACTTGTGATCTCTGTCTGTCAAATAAATAAAATCTTAAAAAAAAAAAAAAGGTATGGTGGGGGGGATGAACAAAATGGATGAATGGGAGTGGAAGATAAGGGCTTCTAGTTACGGAATGAATAAGTCATAGGGAAGGCAGTCAATGGTATTGTAATAGCATGTGTGACAACTCACCCATGGTGAATATAGCATAAAGTACAGACTTGTCCAATTACTACAACTTACACAAATTATACCTGAAATTGATGTAAAATTGTGTGTCAGCTATATTTAAATTAAAAAAAAAAGTGTGGAATACACAATGGCATATTACTCAGCTATAGAAAAGAATGAGATCTTTCCATTTGTGACAACATGGATGGGTCTAGAGTGATTAAGCTAAGTGAAATAAGCCAGACAGAGAAAGACAAATACGTATCATTTCATATATATGTGCAATCTAAAAAATAAGTGAAATAACCAAAAAATGAACAGATTCTTAAATACAGAGAACTGGTGATTGCCACAGAGGAAGTGGATGGAGGGGTTGGGTGATTAAGGGGATTAAGAGATACCAGTTTCCAGTTATAAAAAAAATACTAAGTCACAAAGATATAAAGAATACAGTCAATAATATTGTAATAACATTGTATGGTGTCAGATGATGACTACACTTAATGTGGTTAGCACTGTGATAAATATATATAAAATTACCAAATCAGTATGCTGTACACGGGAAACACTGTATGTCAGTTATTCCTCAATAATTTAAAATACAAAGGATTATAAGAAAGTATTCATACTTAACACAACCAAAACATGGAAATTAGAAGAATCTTAGGAGGTGAACCTAGAATTGGCTTTGGAATATAATCTGGGACTTTTTTTCCCACAAATACTTGGAGTGTTAAGTTCAATAAAATGTTTCAAAATTTGATTCTCTCTTCTGGTATTATTTAACATTAATTTACCTTTCTGTTTTATGACATGTCTGTTTTAAATTAGGTGAATTTAAAAAATTACAATTATTGTTAAGATAAAGTATAATGAAAGTTATGATAATCCCAGAGGCTACTGGATATTGATGACAAAAGACCAAAATGCAATGATGACATGAAAATTAGCTTGGTATTTGTAATTACTGTAAAAAGTGACACTGTCCTTCATGCCCTATTCCGGGTTATCTATAAGATAGTGAGTCAGAGGGGCGCCTGGATGGCTCAGTGGGTTAAGGCCTCTGCCTTCGGCTCAGGTCATGATCCCAGGGTCCTGGGACTGAGCCCCACATCTGGCTCTCTGCTCAGCAGGGAGCCTGCTTCCCCTGCCCCCTCTCTCTCTGCCTGCCTCTCTGCCTACTTGTGATCTCTGTCTGGCAAATAAATAAATAAAATCTTAAAAAAAAAAAAAAAAAAAAGATAGTGAGTCAGAAAGTGGGAATATAATAATGGTTATACTTAAAATATACCACCATCTCATGGACTCCGAAACACTGGAATTATACATAATTGTACTGAATATGGATACATATTACAGAAATAATCACTTCCATTTAAAAAAAACTTGTGTTTTAAATATTTATACACAGAATTAAAATCCAATTGCTTTCAAAAGGAAAAGACAGTATGACTACATGTATCCTAAGTATGACAATTTAACTACATATAAGAAATATATAGAATTAAATTCCACTACAAGGATTGATAAACTCCACTCAAGCTTTTAAAGACTGAACTTCTGACTGTAGAAATTACTACCAAAGACATAATAAAATCTGCTATCACAAATAAGGCTAACTGTGGTAGTATCAAAGCAATTCTTAACCTCATGAAAATCTAAGTCACAAAAGATTATTAGTAAAACAAGTCAATAAATGTGAATAATATAATTAAAAAGCAATTTCTAGGAATAAGGATGATCAAACTATCATTTAGAGAAGTGATATGAAAACCAAAACCAACTATGGTACAATTCTGAATGTGCTGAAGGGTAAAGAAAATCAGCATGAGGAATTTTTCCCTAAGCAGTAGATACATTCTGTCCTATAGGAGAATGTATTTATTCTGACAAAGAATGTATTTAATTAGATGTGTATTTGCTTTGGGCCCCATGTAATATGTCCCCAAGCCAAACTATTATTCTATTACATTTCTGTCCCAAAAAGAGCAATATATTATTATAAAATAATTCTAGGTCAGCAATAAAGGGCACATGTGAACACAGGTAATTTAAAAGATACTAAGTCCAAAAAATTCCCTTGCCATTAAGTAAACAAGGTGAGAAGCCATGAGAAAGTGAGCAGAAATAAAAACAAGGTGTATAAACCAAGCACTTACATATTTTAGTTATAAATGAAACAAACAAAACACTTCATTACCTTTATACAATTTCAGTTTTATAAAACTGATTTTCAAATGACATGCCAGGACAGAATAGAAAAGTCTTAGTCCAAGTCTTTCTGGAGATGCAAAGCTCCATTACTATTTGATGTCAACCAAAAGAATACATTTTCACAATTATCCTTTCAAATGTTTTGTCTTAAAATTTCCTGTGAGGATGTACGTATATGACTGCTTTTCCTCTGTACCTCAAGTTCTATGGTAATTAATTCTCTTAGCGATCTGTCACTTTGTACAGGTCTATTCTCACTTACTCCAACTATTCCTTATGAGCATTTTATATAAATCAACTTACATTTAAGATACATTAGAATGGTATGTTATTTAAAGGGATTACATTTATATCTGGTAAAACAAAGGCTCCTGTAAATTTACACTTAAGTAAAGGAAAGGCTCTCCTAAGAATATAACCACTTCATCAGATGTTGTATCATACATTATGCCTACTTAAAATAACCTTATATTCAATGATTACTATAAAACTCTACCTCCAGAAAACAGAATGTGGAAAAAATACATACACTGTTGAGAAAGTATAATCCTAAAAATTCTTATTCTTGGGAATATGTAATGAAAGTATTCTTGTAAAATACTGATTTTAAATTAAAGTGAGAATTTACTGGAGAAAATTTTACATACCTTGGACTTGAGGGAACCTCCCCAATTTTCATCCACAAACTTCAAGAATAGCTCCTGCATAAAGCTGCAAAAGGAAAAACAAGAATTTAAAAAACCGGTATAATTTTAAGATTTTATTTATTTTGGGAAGGGTAAAAGAAAGACAGTACAAATGGGGGTGGGAAGGCAGAGAGGAAGGGTGAGAGTCTTTCAAGCAGACTTCACACCGGGAGCCTGATGGCAGGGCTCAGTCTCAACCCTGAGATGATGACCAAAGCCCAAAATCAAGAGTTGGAAGCTTAAACAACTGAGCCACTCAGGCACCCCTGTTGTAATTTTAAAATTGTAGTTATTTCAGTTAAAATAAATATTATAGTTAAACAGATAGAATCAAATGTTCAGAGCTGGAGAGAACTATGTAGTTCCATCCTGACAGAAGAGGAAACGAGGCCCATGGATGTTAAATGATTGAGGAATTTAAGCCCTACTTAGTAAGAGATTGAAGGAGATGTGGAGAATTGACAATGAATCTGAATAGGTAAGATGTCTTTGCAAGTTCTTCACAAAATTCTAAAGATTTCCTATAGTTTCTTAGAATGCTAGATTGAACACAGGTTTGTATTCATCTATCCAACATAGGTATTTAAGGAGAGTTCTTTCTAGTTGGTTAAAATTAAGCAATCAATATTTAAAATTAAACAAAACCTCAATACTTTAAAAAATTAACTATAGTATATACTATGTAAAGATACTAGAAAACCAGTAAAATATCATTAGAAAGAATTTTTGTTAAAGATCTGAGAGAGAGAGGAGAGAGACTGTGCACACGCGTGTGTGAGTGTGTGTGTGGGGGGGGGGCAGAGGCCCGACGTGGGGCTCTATCTCACAAACCTTGAGATCATGACATCAGGACCTGAGCCACCCAAGCACCCCTCATTAGAAAGAATTTAAATGCAAATATTTCCCCTTAATGAATTCACTTAAAATGAATTAAATGGGGCGCCTGGGTGGCTCAGTGGGTTAAGCCTCTGCCTTCGGCTCAGGTCATGATCTCAGGGTCCTGGGATCGGGCTCTCTGCTCAGCGGGGAGCCTGCTTTCTCCTCTCTCTCTCTATGCCTGCCTCTCTGCATACTTGTGATTTCTCTCTCTCTGTTTCAAATAAATAAATAAAATCTTAAAAAAAAAAAAAAAAAGAAATTGCTCCCTCATGGGGATGCAACTTAAAAAAAAAAAAAAAAAGAATTAAATGATAAATATTGCTTTTCTAGCTATATAGGACCTGCACAATTTATAGTAAAAGCTCATTATAAAAAAACTGTAATGCAAAAATTTTCTTACAATGAATTCAGCTGAAATGGATTCAATGATAAACACTTTTTTTCAGCTGTAGAGCCTGACCATTCTTTTTGTAGTGACATGGGGATGCTAGGGCTCTAAGAGAAGGCAGGCTATTATAAAAACATACTATATCGATTTTATTTATTGTTAGTCTTTACACTTTTTATTGTAGGTCTAAAAGCTGAAGATGGATTTTACTTTTAAGTTCTAAAATAGCATAAATATCCCATGCACTATGCAGGATGATTATTTTAAATACTTCGGAAAATATAAAAAAGTACAGAGTAGAAATTAGAAATTTACTTTAATTCCATTTATACCCAAGAGATAATTTTTTTTTTTTTAACCATTTTGGAGATTCTGACCTAGATCAATAGTTCTTAAATTTCTGAGGGCCACAGATACTTTTGAGAGTCTGATGAACTTCTGCTTTGAGGCTATACATGGACTCTCTGAAACCACTGATGAATTTCAAATTAAGAACTCTGATGATCTCCAAAGATTCTCTGCAGCATTAACAATTTGATATTAGGGGGATCTAATTTTATGCAGTAAGCTTTTTAGTTACTCTTGTTGGACAAGCCCACAGAATATCTTTTAAAATATCAGGTCATATTACCAATAAGATCATGAAAAGATGTTCAACATCACTAATTATTAGGAAAAAAGCAAATCAGAATCACAATGAGCTACCAACCATTTCACACAAGATAGGAGGGCTATGATTAAAAACAACAACACAGAAAACCAGTGGTGATGAAGATGTGGAAAAATCAGAACCCTTGGGCACTGCTGCTGGTAAGGTAAAATAGTATAGGCACTATGGAAAGTAAAAAGGTGGTTCCTTAAAAAATTAAACATAGAATTATATGATTCAGCAATTCTACTTCTAGCCAGAAGTCAGAGGCAACCCAAATGTCTATTGGCCAATGAATGGATAAACAAATGTGGTATATACATATAATGAAATATTGTCTTAAAAAGAGAAAATTATGACACATGCTATAACATGCATGAATCTTGCAGACAGAAAATAAAGCAATTACAAAAGGATAAATACTACATGATTCCACTTTTATGAGGTACTTAGAGCAGTCAAGTTGAGAGACAGAAAGTCAAATGGTGGTTGCCAGGGGCTGGGAGAGGGAAGAAGAGGAGCATTATATATTGAGAATGGAGTTTCAATTTAGAAAGATGAAAAAGTTCTGGAAATACATGGACACTTAAAAATAGTTAAAATGGTGAAGTTTACGCTATATATATATTACCAGAATTATGAAAGTTAAAAAAGTAGTAAAGCCATATTAAAATTCGGTTATTAGATTTAGCTTTTATTTTTAAGTCTGTGATCCCCTGGAAACTAAGTGGAGATTCCATTACCTTACATAATAGCATTTCTCTACAAAACTGTTTCCCAATATTCTCCATAACATGACATGTGGAAAATGGTTAACAAGTTCATGAAGCACCGGGGTAAGAGGAAGATGCTTAGAACTGGAGATGACTAGCTTGGTGGGCCCTGTGCATCCCAGTCCCTATTTGGCTGTTGCAAGGACTGAAGGAGTCTGTATCCCAGCAGACTTTTAAGGCATTCATGGAAAGCACTTCTCTGTACAACAAAACAAATGGTTAAAAATACTAGAAACATGTTCAATGAACAGGCAGCTCAGATGTGACTTAATCCAGAAAAACTTTTGTTGATTTCCTATCTTGCAGGTACTTTCTGCAGAATTCCAGTTTTTTCTTTCTTTCTTTTTTCTTAAAGATCTTATTTATTTGACAGAAAGAGCGTGCGCACATGCTCACACAAGCAGGGGAAGCAGCACAGGGAGAGGGAGAAGCAGGCTCTCTGCTGAGCAGAGCCAGATGTGGGGCTTAATCCCCAGGATCCCTGGATCATGACCTGAGCTGAAGGCGGACTCTTAACTGACAGAGCCATCCAGGCACCCCAGAATTCTGTTCTTATAATGTGCTGTAAATATTCTGTAACTTAACTGTGGAAAGGAAATGTCTTATTTATCGTAACTATCCCCAGAACTAGACACAAAGCTTCTCACTGTATGTGTGTTGGAGAGAATTACTCATTTAACAGAATTAAATACCTCTTTTTTTGTTATATAACTTTAAAAATATTTCAAGCTCCTTTGACATACTTGTAGAGTTCGTTGTACTTAGTTTCAGTGTAGGGTAAACAAAAAGAAAATTTATCTTAGAGCTGCCTAACATTATTAATAACAAATTCTAAAAGCATTAGTTAATTTTTAAAAAAGATTTTATTTATCTATTTGACAGAGAGCGAGCAAGTGTGCACAGCAGGGGGAGCAACAGGCAGAGGGAGAGGGAAAAGCTCCCTGCTGAGCAGAGCCCGACCAGAGAGCCCAAAATGGGGCTCAACCCCAGGGCTCTGGGATCATGACCCAAGCTGAAGGCAGATGCTCAACTGACTAAGTCACCCAGGTTCCCCTAAAAGTATTAATTTGTGATGACAGTTGGCATTTCACTTATGAATTTGTGGTGTTCATAGAAAAACACTGGCTTTTCATGTTGAGTAAGTAATTTAACTACAAATTCTGATAAATTTTCAGTGACATAATCATAAGCATCTTTGGCATTACACAAATTCACATAAAAATATGTAACTTATAATAGGAATTCTCTAGGGCATAAAGGATGAAAGGATTTAAAAAGGTTAAACTTGTAATTCCTTGACTTTCCCCCTTAGCATTCGGACTTTTTTTTTTTTTTTTAAAGATTTTATTTATTTTCTTTGACAGACAGAGATTACAAGTAGGCAGAGAGGCAGGCAGAGAGAGAGAGGAGGAAGCAGGCTCCCTGCTGAACAGAGAGTCCGATGCGGGGCTCGATCCCAGGACCCTGGGATCATGACCTGAGCTGAGGGCAGAGGCTTTAACCCACTGAGCCACCCAGGTGCCCCGCATTCGGACTTTTTAAAGTAACATCACTGGCATAGAAAAAATTCTGACCTTCAACATTTGTGGATGACTACCCACTGGAAGAGAAATCAAAAAAGTAATGTAACTTTTACAGAACAAGCTAATTTTTAAAATACCAAGTTGGTAGGCCTCTTTTTTGTAGGCCTCAAGAAGCTCATTTGTACAGACAATCTATCTCTAGACTCTAGTAGGTACTTATTCCATTATATTATAATAACCCAAATAACTTAAATGAAAATACATGGATACCTTTAGAAAAATATAAAAATGACATGCAAAGTTATATTTTTCCCTTGGGAGTCCACATCTATTTCCCTATATAAGTTATGATTAATAGGTTTTCCTAAACTTTCTAAACAATTCTGATGAGAAGCAAAAATATCAAACGACTTCAGCTCTGTAACTAATCTGCCTTATTAGTAACATGACTTTTGAATCCCCTAATATCCACCTCACTTAAAAATTAGTGGTGTTTAAAACTGAAGTATAATTAACATAGTGTTATATCAGTTTCAGGTGTACAATATAGTGATTCAGTTCTATACATTACTCAGTGCTCATCAAGTTAAGTGTGTACTTTTTTTTTAAGATTTTACTTATTTATTTGACAGACAGAGATCACAAGTAGACAGAGAGGCAGGCAGAGAGAGAGGGGGAAGCAGGCTCCCCGCTGAGCAGAGAGCCCGATGCGGGACTCGATCCCAGGACCCTGAGATCATGAACTGAGCCGAAGGCAGAGGCTTTTACCCACTGAGCCACCCAGGCACCCCTAGTAGTAAAGCTTTTGTCAAG